TAAAAGTACAAAAGCATCAAGTAAATAAAAAAACTAAGTAAAAAGCTGCCAATTTTTTAAACTRAAATTAGCTTAAAAGCACCATAACTGTCAATCTAAAGTACCTCACAACCAGGTCCAGTTTTCCTTATTTCAGGTCCTGAAAGTTCAGCACTCTAACCGACGGGTCTCAGCAGTTTCCATAAAAACACAAAAAAATAAAACTTTACCATATTTTACCAACAAACATTGGGGTTTCTTACTTTAGGTGTCCCTGAACGCACCTCCTCTCCACACAGAAAAGACCAACAAGCTGTAACATTTCTTCAAATATTTATATAGATATGTGTGCATTTATAATATACTTCTCACCTGGTTTGTCAGTATGACACATATTTACAACCAAAAAGTCTCATATCAATCTGTCAAAACAAACAAAACTATGATTTAAATTATGCATAGCTCAAGTTAATAACAGAACAATAAATAATCACATTTTCGCTCGGCATGTTTACGGTTTTCAACAAGGATAAAAAAAAACAAAAATGAGTGAAAGAAACAGTTCAGACGAGCAAACAAAAACAGTAACGTATTTTTCTGAGTCCAGGCAGAAATGAAGAACAAGGTGCAAAAAAAGTCACAAAACACATGAAACAGGAATGATATTTTAAGAAATGTTCCCTTTCTCAAAGACAAATCGACAAAGTAAGAYGGTGTCTGTTCAGGCTGCGTTTGACGCAACGTTTCTGGGCTGGTGTTGCTTCTGGGTTGGATTTATTGGAGGTACTGAATCATAAGAAGTGTTTCTGGTGAACATCTGACCCGTAACGGTTAAACGGAGGATGGGTACGAAACGTCTGGTTGGCTCCGTCACCTGATCGACCCAGATTAGGTGGAAAAAATAAAATAAGAGTAAATTATCAACTAAGAGCTTCTATTAAATATCGGGAGCGGTGAAAACAGAGCTCGGTGGGTCTGACCCGTTTTTAGTCACTTCGGCTGTTTCCTGGTGCTTTGAGTTTGAGAACCGGAGACCCGAGGAGGAAAAGACGAGCGGATAAAACGTGCGTCGAACAAGGTCCGTAAATGTCAGGTCCAGTCCGGGTCGGCCTCGCATGCAGGAGGCGGGGCGGAACAACAGGCGGCACAATTCATCCCGTCTCCCCCGCCGGGACCCCCGTGGTCAGACGAGACCCGGGTTTTGGTTCTGGTCTTTGGGTCAGAGGATAGCAGCTTCAACAGTCGAAACAACTCGAGCAACAACGAGAAAAAAAAAAAGGCAGAACAAAGAGAACGAAAGAGTTTGAGACGAATATGAAAAACATTTTGTAGAAAGTGTCTGCTGCAGCCTCGGCATCCATTCCTCCAACATTCAGCTTCACATTGTTTATAAATATATTTTTATTTACATGTAACACTTTTTCTTTTTGAATAATGCTGGGAGTGTCTGAGCTTCCACAGCTGGGGATCATTCAGTGCAGGTGGGGGGCGGGGGGTCAGCCGGCAGCGTAGCTGCTCAGGAAGGAGTAGAACATGGGCAGCTTCATGCGCTGCTGGTCCCGGCGGCACCAGGCCATCACGGTGCCCTCGCTGTTGGCCGTGTACAGGTGGTGGCCGTCGCACGAGTACGTCAGGCTGAGGACGACAGGAGAGAAGGTCATCAGCGGCAGCGAAACCAGGAAATAATCTGAACRTTGAGCAGCTGAAATACCTGATGATGGGTTTGTTGGACTTTGGGAAGGTGATCTCTCTGATGGGCTTCAGATCCCAGGTGCTCCACAACCTGAGAAACATAAAAAAAAAATTTAATTTAAACCTAAATGTAGTAAGATGCTATCTATAAGGAGCAAAACATTAGCATAAAGCTTAATCTCAATGCAAACTAGAGCTAAATACGAGCTAAAAGATTAAAAATGGCAGACAAAAGTAACAAAGGGCTAAATAAATGGTTAATGTGGTAAAAGACTAGCTAAAAGGACAAAAACACTAATATCTAAAAGTAGCAAAATACTAAAAAAAAAGGCAAAATAGCACTTTAGTAGAACAACGTTAGCCTGAAGCTAACTAGAGCTAAAAGTAAACAAAAAAGAACACAATACAAAAATAAATCTACTTTGTTGTATCAAAAAAACAGTACCAAAGTGCTAAAAGGAGCAAAACAGCTAAAAGCTWAATAACACAATGTTAGCTAGAAGCTAACTAGAGCTAAAAGAAAACAAAGGTAACACTAKCTAAAAGTAAAAAAAATGCACAAAACAATAAATGTACCAAAAACCTAAAGTGGCGCAAGCAAACATCTTAAAAGTAGTAAAATGTGCACTAAAAGGAGCAAAACCTCAGCTAAAAAACAAAACAAAACCTCAGCTAAAAAAAACCAAAACAAAACCTCAGCTAAAAAACAAAACAAAACCTCAGCTAAAAGAACAAAACCTCAGCTAAAAAAACAAAACAAAACCTCAGCTAAAAAAACAAAACAAAACCTCAGCTAAAAAAACAAAACAAAACCTCAGCTAAAAGACAA